AGCGGGGAAGCCCCCGGTACCCCCTCCCCCCCGCCAGCGCCCGGCCAACCCCGGGTTTCCATCAGAGAGCCCCGCCCCGCAGCTGTGGGGGCGCGGCGACGTCCTCCGAGGCCTCCCAGGACTTCTGGCTCCCCTGGGTTGCCACGGGACTAGGGGCGGGGTAGGAAGTGGAGTCAGACAGCGTAAGTTCAAGTCCTTGCGCCACCAGCTAACAGCTGGATGACCTTAAGCAAGTTCTTGAAGTCTGTGGCTCAGCTTCATCCTGTATATACTGGGAATGATGACTCCTAGCTGGGACAGCTTTCCAGAGGGTAGGAGAGGTGACACGTGCGGCCGGCTTTGCCCGTTGCCACCAGTCAGTGTGGTCTCAACCTGTTGGGTGGGGTAGGGGCTGGAGAGGGGTAGGAGAGAGAGCCACTCCCATCTTTAATTCTTGTGGTTGTCCTACAGGAGCTGTGACAGGTGCTTTCCATCGGTGTGAGCTGTGAGTGGCAGGTGGAGAGAGGTCCACTCAGGAAGCCAGCCCCACCATGAGTCTGTGGGAACTTGACAGTCGTAGCTGCCAAGGTACTCCCAGGCCGGATCAGGAGCCCAGCACTGAGGAGGCATCGGCTGTGGAGCTACAGATGAAGGTTGATTTCTTTCGGAAGCTAGGCTACTCATCTGCTGAGATCCACAGTGTCCTGCAGAAACTGGGGGTGCAGGCCGACACCAACACGGTGCTGGGCGAGCTGGTCAAACATGGGTCAGCAGCCGAGCGGGAGCGCCAGGCTTCCCCGGACCCCTCTGCTCAGCTCCCCCTGGTCCCCCGGGGTGGGGGCACCCCCAAGGCTCCCACCCTGGAGCCCTCGCCCCCAGAGGAGAACAAGGAGGGCAGCGACCTGAGGCCTGTGGTCATTGATGGGAGCAATGTGGCCATGAGGTACGTGTCATTTCTGGGGCTAAGACCAGGGCCTGTGGCTGGGAATGGTGGCCATGTGTCTCTACACCTGTGGTAAAGAGGCCTTCAGGAAGGAGTGTGACCTGTTTTCACAGACCCGTGTAGAGGAAGGGAAGGCCTTTTATTGAGGCTCTACGATGTGCCAAGAGACTCCCTTAATCCTTATGGCGTCTTGGAAGTGGGTCTGTTGGGAATGTTTTAGGGATGAGAACAGAGGCTCAAAGACGTGCTCATGGGCTCAGTATTGGTAAGTGGTAGAGCAAGGATTCGAACTTAAGCCCTTCTGTCTCTGGAGTTCACCTTAGGCACTACGTCTCTCCCTGAAGGCCAGCACTCAATCTCAGTTCCTCTCCTGTGACATCAGGCAGCTTGGTGTAAGGGGAGTAGACTGTGGGGCCAGCTCCTCCGTGTAGGAGCCAGTCACTTGATCTCCGTGAGCTTTCTCTGCTCATCAGTAAGACCCAGCCAACCCCTGCTCAGGTGACATTTGTGAGGAGGGGCCGCACAGAGCCTGGAGAGAGACGGAAGCTCAGTAAGCTGTAGTTGTTCTTACTGCTGTTACTTAGGGTCTGGGGCCTCTGAGACCTTGTTGTCCCAGACCTGGACCCCCAAGGAAGCAGGCCCAGGTACTGAGGCCTTTGTCGCTGTGACCAAGAGTGACCTCAAGGATCTGGCTTACATGGGGGGTGTGGGCAGGTCAGCTGTGACTTGGGTTGCCTCTGCTACAAATGAGGCACCTGGGCCCCAGGGCCAAAGCCAGGATTCCATCCCAGTAACAGTCCCCTCTCCACAAAGACTGTCACAGGGAATGGGGGCAGGTGAAGCCAGGGGCCACAGCTGTCACTGACCCCACGGAGCACAAGCCTGCTTTCAATCCAGGCTGCTCCCTCTGGCCCTGCTTTCTCCCGGTCCTTCCAAAGTGGTTGCTGAGTCAGGGCTGGGTGGATCGTTCACCAGGAAAAGTTCCAATGGGCGTGGAGAGGGAGACCCCAGACTCAGGGTGGGGCCTGGAGAGGGTTCTTTGGTGTCAGAGGGGTCTCCCAGGTGGGCTGCCTAAGGCTTCAGTACCCAGAGCCCCTCCCACTCCCAGCCCAGCTGGGCCAAGTCAGCTGTAGGGCTGGACCTGGCCCAGCTCAGTAAGGATGCAGGTGGCCTGTTCTAGCCACCTTTGGATCAGTCTTCCCGTCTCGGAAATGGGCTGAGCCTAGGTGGGAGGTTGGGTAGAGCTGGCTGCCACACGGCTAGCGGCAGCTGGTTACAGTCTGTGCTTTGAGCATTAGGGGGTCCCTTCTCAGGCTCCAGCAGCCTGTGGCTGGGCGAGGAGCTGCATAGGTCTGTGACTTCTTCTCCTGGAGGCTTGGGTGGGCTGCACCAAGCTAAGGCTGCCTGCCCAGGACTGTCTTCCCACCCCCTCCCTCCCCAGGGGCAGCCAAGTGCTCTGTGTGTTTGTATCCAGGCAGGAGGAGGAGGGGCCTGGGCGGGAGGAGGGGGTGGCCCCCGAGAGGAGCTGGGCCGGAGAGGCACCGCCTTGGGGGTTTCTGAGCTGGGGCTGTAGCAGGAGGGGAATTCCTGCCTCAAACTTCCTGTCTCAGCTGCTGCTGGGTTCTTGCCCTGCCGCCCCCTCCCCCCCAAAGGCAGACAGACCAGCCCCCACCGTATGCAAATCGTGGGGAAATTCACCTCTGTTTCCTTCTAAGGGAATTTTTCTCTTGTAGCTGGGCCCAGCCCAGGCAGATCTCTTTACCTGGGTAGCCTGGCCTAGCCCTGCCCTCTATCCTAGGGTGGGAGCAGCTGAGCCCGAGTCCCTACATCCTCACACATCTTAGCCAGTCCCCTCACCTTCTGGGCGAACGGGACTGCGGTGGGGGAGGGAGGATGTCTGGTTTTCCTGTGCCAGCACAGCTTCCTCCATTGCAACAAGAGGGACTAAAGTTAGCTCTAGGGAGGCACTCCTGGCCTGGCTTGACTTGACGGACTACATCATGGGCTCTACTCCTGCCAAGAGCAAGGCTCTCCCTACCTGCCTCAGGAGTGCTTTTGGGGCTAGGACAGCTGCGGGCAGACTTGTCCCCAGCTCAGGCTTTTGATGCCCAGAGGCAGTACTCTGTCCTTGAAAGCTGTGGCATCCCATGAAGTCCTAGGGCTGGCAGATGCTGGCCTCGGATGGGCCATGTGCACGTACGTACGTGTGTACAGAAGCAGGTCAGTGGGTGCATGTGCTGACTGCTTACCTGAGCCAGGGAGCCGAGCCAGGGGATGATCACGTTCCCAATGCGGAGACAGCAGAAGGCCCAGGGAGGGGCATCATGAAGACAAACCAGGGACCTAAGCCATACTGGAAGGTCAGGGAGGCTTCTCCGAGGCAGTGCCGTTTCACACGGGTCCCAAAGAGCAGGAGTTTGCCCGCTGCACTCTTGTCTCTTGTTCCCAGCCTGCCCCTACCTCTTAGCGCCTTGTTCAGACTTAAATTTGAGGGCTTTTCCTTCTGCTAGATAAGCTTCAGGTCTTGCTGTTAAGGGACTAGAACAGCAAGCCAGTAGCCCCAGATGTGGGTTCAAGTTCTGTCTCCGACCACCAGCTAGGGAACCTTGGGTGAGTCGCAGAGCCTGGGTTTCCTTCATTGTGGCTTTGTTAAGGATGAAGACAGAAGGTGCGGGCCTCATCTGGCCCCCAGTAGGAGCTTGGTGCCCGCTGACCGCCATCTGCCCCAAGGCCAGGGCTGGTACTTTGTACCTGTCTGAGCATCAGCATCCGTGGTGGTTATGAGCACAAGCCTGGGGCTCGCGTCTCTGTTTCACCATTGCCACAACTTCTGTGCTCTGTAGACCAGTTTTCTCATCTGAATGAAGGGGAAAGGGGCCTTTGATGATAGCACCCTCCTCAGAGGCTTGCTGACAATTCAGTGTTAAGCACTTGGTTAGAGCCTGGCTCACAGCCCTCAGTAAATGTGAACTTTTTATTATAAAGGAGCCTGGTGGACAGTGGGGAGGCCCCGCCACCTGGCAGGGATGAGCGCTGCCTTCAGCTGGACTTTGCCCCCCTACGATTTATGGAGACCTTCAGACCCGGGAGCCCCAGCCTATCCCCCAGACAGCCTCCGTGCCCTGCAGCTGCCCCACCTGCCTCTCTATCTTCTCGTGGGGCTATCACCCACCCCAAAGCTACCCACAGGATGTGGTTGGCTGTGGCCTTGCCTCCTTTGTGTAACGTTTATTCTGTTTAATTTCACCAAGCGTAAGAGACTGAGAGCTGTTCGCGGAGGGGTGAATGAGGGGTAGGGGCTGTTGAGGAGGGAGCTGCAGCTGGTCCGTCCAGCGCCCCCAGCCCGGGCCTAGAGCCCTTCCACAACACCCAGGGTTCCCTGGGGGTCCCCTGGCCTCCTCTTACCCTCCCAGGAAGCCTCCACTTTGCTGGACTGTCTCTGGCCTCAAGCAAACAGGAAAGTTATGCTGCTGACATGGGCCCTTCTTTCAGAGGCTGCAGGCTACCAGGCCCATTTTACAGATACGGAAACTGAGCCAGAGCAAGCTAGCAGCCCCTCAGGGCTGGCTTCTGGATCCAGCCACATTTGGACGGGGTGAAATCCAGTCATCAGACCACAGCAGGGAGTGTCCCATCTCCAGCTCCCCTGCTAACAGAGAGAGTCCCCTGGTGTCTTCCTGACTGTCTTTCTGCCTCAGGTCGTGCCCTCCCCAGAAGGGTGAGGAAAGGACAGGGCGGTCCGGGTCTGGGCGTTTGGGGGAATTGGTAGTCTTGGGAGGAAAAGCAATGCCCTTTCACTTTCAGACTGAAAGGCTCCTCAGTGGCCTCTCCCACTCTGTCACTGCTGGCCTGTGTTGGACAATGGATCCTGGCTCCTTCCCCTTCGCCCTCCTGAGTCCCAGCCCCTGGGGCTTGTGTAGGACTGAACTTTAATCCATGTTTAATCCAGAACAATCTGGTTTCTCCTCAGTTAGCTGGGGCTCGTCCCTTCCCACCCCCACCCGCAGCACCGCCCAGCGGCCGAGGGAGGGGTGGTGACTCAGTGTGCCTGTGTGCATCTACGTCCCGTGGTCCCAGCACCCCCGGGTGGGGCGGGAACCAGAAGGCTGCCAGAGCCTTTCCCCCACCCCCAGGTGTGTTGCAAGCGGCCTGACCCTCCCCCACATGGGAAGCGGGTGCCGCCAGATTCCTGGGCGTCTCCTCACTGTCGGGAGATGGAACTTCAGGGAAAGTCCCCGGTCTGGCCATCCCGGACGCTGTGGGAACCAGCAGGGAATGCAGGCCTTGGGCCAGAGGGCAGTGAGCTGAGCCCAGGGCAGGGGCCGCAGAGCCACGCCCTCCTGCCTGCGGCTCGGGATGGCAGGCCAGCCACCCTCCAGGGCTGACCCTGTGCCCCTTCTTCTTCCCAGCCACGGGAATAAGGAGGTGTTCTCCTGCCGGGGCATCCTCCTGGCGGTGAACTGGTTTCTGGAGCGGGGCCACACAGACATTACGGTATTTGTACCATCCTGGAGGAAGGAGCAACCTCGACCTGACGTGCCCATCACAGGTGAGTGGCACCTCTTGGTTGGGGGGGTGCGCACTGCCCCAGCCGGGCTTTTTCCCCAGGGAGACGGTTTGGGTGTGACTGACCGCTTCTGGGCCTCAAGCAGGGACCAGCTTGGTTTGTTTTTGTTTTTGCTTTTTACTGTTTGTTTATTTTTGAGAGAGGAAGCGAGCATGAGCGAGGGGGGCGGGGAGGGGCACTGAGATCGGGGACAGAGGATCCCAAGCGGGTTCTGGGCTCTGCACTGACAGCAGAGAGCCCAACGCAGGGCTCGAACTCACCAACTGTGAGATCGTGACGGAACCAAAGTCGGATGCTTAACCGACTGAGCCACCCAGACGCCCCAGGGACCAGCATGTGTTTTCCTGGCTTCTGCTGTCCTCTGCCCCTGCCTGCCTTGGTGTACCTGGAGTTCGGAGCTCCTGTGCCTGGCCACCCAGAGGCTCTGGGTCCAGATGGGGCTCTGACCTGTGCTGCCACTGCCTCCCAGACCAGCACATCCTGCGGGAACTGGAGAAGAAGAAGATCCTGGTGTTCACCCCATCGCGCCGGGTGGGCGGCAAGCGCGTGGTGTGCTATGACGACCGCTTCATCGTGAAGCTGGCTTTTGAGTCCGACGGCGTCGTGGTCTCCAATGACACGTACCGGGACCTCCAGGGCGAGCGGCAGGAGTGGAAGCGCTTCATCGAGGAGCGGTTGCTCATGTACTCCTTCGTCAACGACAAGTACGTTCCTGGCTCCCGGGCCCCGGGGTCCCGGGGGAGAAGCCGGACGTGTCCTCTGGCACGGGGCTTTGTTGCGGGGAACTCTGCTGGGGCCGCGGCCTTGTATCCAGGCAGCTTTGGGAGTGAGTGCAGGGGACTCACCACCAGGTAAAAGGGGCCAGGCTAGGCCAGGGGATCTGAATGTGGAGTTGCCGAAGCTTCTGTGATAGGTAGGATCTGGTCAGTGGTTCCCAGCACTCGGTCTCTGGCCAGAGGCCGGCGGATGGATGCAGCCTTAGTTGCAGATTTTCAGGTTGCTGGCCTCCCCACGCCCTCACGGAGTGCCCAGCAAGAGAACTGCCCTGGCGGGGTCCTCCTCCCTCCCCTCCCTTGGGGCATTCCCGCCCTGGGCCCAGAGGTGTCCTGCAGGACGAACAGCAGTTTCCGGAGCTGCTCTCCCACCTACCCTGCAGGTTCATGCCCCCCGATGACCCCTTGGGCCGTCACGGGCCAAGCCTGGACAACTTCCTGCGGAAGAAGCCACTCACAGCCGAGCACCGGAAGCAGCCGTGTCCCTATGGTAAGAGACCCGGCTGCCCCCTCACTCCTTCCCCTTCCTCTCTCATCCAAGGCAGCCTGGGCCCCCGAGTGCTTCCTCTCCGAGACCACCCAGCCCCACGTTTCCTGTGCCCCACCTTTCCCCCTCCCAGCCCTGGTTCTGGAACCCCTTGCTTAGAGACCCCCTTATTCTCTTCCAGGGAGGAAATGCACCTATGGGATCAAATGCCGGTTCTTCCACCCAGAGCGGCCCAGCCGCCCCCAGCGCTCTGTGGCTGATGAGCTCCGTGCCAGTGCCCTCCTCTCACTCCCTAGGGCCCCGAGCAAGGAGAAGAGTGGCCGGCGGCCTTCACCTTCATCCCAGCCTGGCTCTCTGCCGGCAGAGCATGAGCAGGGCAGCCTAGATGGGAAGAAGCTGGGAGCCCGGGCATCGCCAGGGCCGCACCGAGAGGGTCTGACACAGACCTTCGCCCCAGCGGGCAGGAGCCTCCCACCTAGCGGGCGCAGCGGCAGCAACTTTGGGCCCACAGACTGGTTCCCACAGACGCTGGATTCTCTCCCGTACAACTCCCAAGAGTGCCTGGACTCGGGCATCGGCTCCCTGGAGAGCCAGATGTCAGAACTGTGGGGGGTCCGAGGAGGAGGCCCTGGAGAACCCGGCCCGCCTCGGGGCCCTTATGCTGGCTACGGCCCCTACGGGGCCGAGCTCCCGGCCGCTCCAGCCTTCCCTACTTTTGGACGGGCCGTGGGTGCCGGCCACTTCAGTGTCCCTGCTGACTATGCCCCGCCGCCAGCTGCCTTTCCACCCCGAGAGTATTGGTCTGAGCCGTACCAGCTGCCCCCACCCACCCGGGTCCTGCCGGAGCGGCAGGTGCCAGGCCCCGGGGCCGGGAGCCTAGCCAAGGAGCGAGCCAGTGTGTACATCAAGCTGTGCGGGGTGTTTCCCCCGCACCTGGTGGAGGCCGTGATGGGGCGCTTCCCTCAGCTCCTGGACCCCCAGCGGCTGGCTGCCGAGATCCTTTCTTACCAGCCCGGGCACCCCAGCGAGTGACCCAGCCGTGCGGCTGCCGGCCCTAAGGCTGGACAGAGGGAGGAGTAAAGTAGGGAAGGGAACCCACAAACCAAAGATACTGTAGGATTGGTCCTGGCCCACCCGGCACCTGGAGCCGGCTGCCGAGTGGGGCAGGAACGATCACCCTGTTGATGCACATTGTATCTGTAGTTTAAGGAGACGCCGCCGTAAAGGCGTCAGTCCATGGCTGAAGCCCAAACCCTCCTTTCTCTCAGAGGGCGGGGAGGGAGGTGGTGGGGAGCAGAGGCCTGGGCTGGGGGCCCTGCGCACGACCCCCCACCTCCGCCCCACCCCTGGGATGCCGGCCTCCGCTGGCTAGTTAGGCACTGTGTGCCTGCCCTCCAAGGGCCCCTCCTGTACGCCAATGAGGCCTCATCAGTGCTCTCGCAGGGCACCGGGCCTCATGTTAGTAAGCAAGATGCTTCTTAATAACCCACCTTCTGATCCACTCTGTTTGCAGCGTCCTTGCCCCCGCGGGGGGGGTGGGGTGGGGGGAGCGGGCCAAGGGCCCTCTGTCCCCACCCCCTCTTCCCTTCCTTCTATACTGAGTCCTCTCACCCTTCCCCGAGGGTGGGGACACGTATTTGTGTGTGTACAGGTGTCATGTTAACTACTTTAAGTGGAAGTCCTCGCGCTCCCTTAACACGTCAATAAAGTACAATGTGAGCCCCTTTAAGAGATGCTGGTCTTTGTTGTACCCCGGGGGTTGAGCCGGCCTTTGGGCAACGGAGGTCGGCAGGTGGGCACCAAAGTGCTCAGCCCCCCGGGGGCGGAGGCTTCCTTTACTGAGAGAAGGCGGTGGGGGGGACACAGGATTGGGCTGTTCCCCTTTTCTGTGCTGGGACCGGAGCTCGGCAGAAAACTATCCGGCTGAGAATAGGGCTTCCAGGAGAGTTTGGGAGAGAAGGGGGTGGGGAAGCCCTTGGGTGCTCGGCTCAGGCACCATCCTCCCAGACACTGCGGTGTTCTAGAGGCCGAGCTGCACAGCAGAGCAGGGGGCGCCTGGGGGGCAGCCTGGAGAGGCGGTGCCAGGCTAACCTCCAAGCGGGAGGTTAGGGGTCCTGGTCCTAAACTCAAGAACTAGCTTTGCCACCCCAATTATGTCACCTGGGGCAGTGACCACCCCACTCTGGGTCTCCCATTTCCTCATCTGTGAAGTGGCGATAACGTACCTACCTGACAGGATTGTAGGGGGTACACAAGAGCATGCTTGTTGAGTGCGTGACCCAACGCCTGGCACATAGTAGTAAGTGCTCATTAAAGAGCCTCTGGTGGCGTTCTCTGTGGGCTGTGTTCACCTCACCATCTCAACCTTATCTGCCCCGAGAAGGACGTCAGCCAGGAATATATGAATTTTTTCTTTTTTTTTCTCCCCCAGATGGATAAATGAGATATAAATGTTAAATATTTTATGTTTTTAAAAAATTTTTAAAGTTTATTTTTGAGAGAGTGAGAGCGCCAGTGGAGGAGGGGCAGAGAAAGAGACACAGAATCTGAAACAGGCTCTGGGCTCTGAGCTGTCAGCAGAGAGCCCCGATGCGGGGCTTGAACCCACGGGCCGTGACATCATGACCTGAGCTGAAGTCGGACGCTTAACCGACTGAGCCACCCAGGCACACGGAATGTTAAATATTCAAGTGAAAAGTGGGGCTGTCAAATCATCCCCAAACACCACCAACGGGGCAAAATGGAAAAATACAGTTTTAATAATTCTATATTTGAACATCTCACCTAATTTGTACTTATTGTTTATGAAGCTTTTATAGTATCTGTATTTTTTTTAGAAACTGTTCTAGCACAGAACAGCTGTGCAGCAAGTGGAGAAAAATGCCACACTGGCGATCTCCCTGCGCATTAGGCCCCCGCTTCGTTCTTCACCCTGAACATTCTTTAGAAGCCTGCACTGGGCAGGAACCCAGGCGCAAGGTGGGAAGGATCTCAGCAAACATTATCTCGAAGCCTCCACACCTGCTCTTCAAGGCGCCCCGTGCCCATTGCTTCCAGCCTCCTTCGAAGGTTTTATCTGCACAAAGAACTGTCATTGCCTTATTTATAAAATACTTTCTTCCCATCAAGTACTGTATTCCAGATAAAAGGCTTTTTTATGGGCCTCTGTTGCTTTGTATGGAACAGGAAGCTGCTGCTTGTGTTTTGAGGGATGGGGGAAGGGTCCTACAGGCCGGTGGCAGCAGGCAACGGGGCTAGACCGGGGGTGGCTAATGTCTAGAGGCTGTGCCTGGCCCTGCTGGCTCGTTGACCGGCACCAAGGACAGCAGAGCCCATGAGGCAGGTGCCAGCCGAGTCTGGGCTCCGGCGAGGGTTGAGTCAGGGCCCTGACGGCCTGCACTTGCACCCAGCTTGGCTGTGCCAGCCATCCGGGGCTTGGAGCTGCCCTGTCCAGGGCCTCTTTCTCAATCTGGCAGCCAGGCCCGATGCCCAGGATGTTTCTTTCCCATGACTTGGGCTGTCACTGCAAAGCTCCACGCCACCTCCTGCCCTGCCCGCTGAGGCACCTTTCCTCACAAGGCCTCAGTGTTCCCACCTGTAAAAGGGACACAAGGATCCCTGCATCTCTCCAGACTGACAAGAGGATACCTCAGTTGGTGTGGTGCCAGCCTGAGAGGGAAAAGTCCTGGCCGTGTGGCCCTGCGTCGCTCTCACTTCCCTCAGCTCCCTGGCTTGCCTCACAAAAGAGTTGTTCCCACAGGCTCGTGGGAAGGAGAGGGTGCCAGGGCAGGAACTGATCCTGAGACAGAAGTTCAAGCCACCGAGGCGTGGAGAGGATCAGACTCAGGTGGCTGCCCCGCGTGCCCTTTCCTCCTCTGCCTTCCTGGTTCTGGAAGCTGAGAAGCTGGTGGGGAAACCAGTGAGTATGCAAATCCTTGCCCTGTTGGGAAATGATCCTGGGGAGCTCCCGGTGCATGGCCTCCGGCCAGCCCTTCCCAAACCCCCTCCCACACATCCCCCACCTCACCCTGGGGCTCTTTCCAGCAGGGGCCAGGCCCTGAGTCTCCTTGCCAGCTGTCTCAATGCGGGTTAACCCTGCTGGGGGCACAGGGTGACTCCAGAAACCTTGGCCTCCCTGGCAGAGAATGACCTGGCCCCCAACGGATGAGAGTCCCTGCCCACTCTGCCCCCATCCCACTTTGTTAGCCTGAGGCACACCCAGTGGTCCCCGAAGAGCTGGGGAACTTCAACCAGGAGCAGGAGAGCTCTGAGGCTCCAGGGGAATAGCTGGTTCTCCCAGGCCGCCCACCCCCGAGACTGCTAGCACCTGGAACATTGTTGGTCTCCCTCAGGGTGGCGTGGGGCAGTGGCTGAGAAGAGGCCACCGCTGACCATGCAGTTGCCACTTCCTTCCCTCATGTCCCCTCCCCTACAGAGAAGGGCAGGGCCCCCAGCCCAGAAGGAGGGGGTGGGCAGGCCTCCATCAGAGAAACTGGGACCCAGTGAAACACAAATCTAGGAGGTGGGTGTGCCCCAGGCCCGGCTGGTCCCTTGGGGGCTCCTGGTCCCCTGGGGGCTCCTGCCCACAAACAAGGCGGTCTCAGGATCCTAGCACTCTTTCTCTGGGGCTTCTCAAATTTCTGGCTCATTTTCTTCCCCCTAGACCAGAGCAAAGTGGGTGGAGTTAAGAGCAGTGAGTAAGTGCCTGTTCAGGGGACCTCCTTGTTCAAGGGAAGGGTGTGGGAGATTTGGCTGAAAAAGACAGGAAGGAAAGCCCTGCAATTAAGGAAACTCAAGCCATCCCAGGCCAGGATATGTAAATCCTTCCAGCTAGTTCCTGGATGGGGAGGAGGCCTCAGGCTGTCCTCCTAGGATGTGGCTTCCTGGAGCCCATCTCAAGGCAGCTGCTGGCCATCTCAAGTTGTCTGCCCATGTAAGAAATGGCTGCAAAGGTGGAAGAAAAGGATCAGGCAACCCATAGCAACCCACACTGACTCCGGCATGTTGCTGGGTCTGGGAAGGGTCCAGCGGCTCAGATTCTGGCTGCTGTCCAGAAAAGAGCCCCACTGAAGGCCAGGGGTGCTTATGGTGCTCTGCCTGCCACCTGCTGGCACCTCCTGGTATGACCGTCTGTGCAGCAGGGGGCGGCTCAGCCCTCACAGCCACCAGCACTGGCCTGAACGAAATGCCAAGAGACAAGCATCTCCAGTAGGATCTGAAAACAAGAATTTAAAGAGAATAATATGGAGAGTGCTAAGGCAAAAATGGGAATTCTTTTTTTTTTTTTAATACTTTTTTTTTTTTTTTTTGGTAACACTTATTTTTGGGAGAACGCAAGTAGGGGAGGGGCAGAGAGAGGGGGACAGAGGATCCTAAGCGGGCTCTGCGCTGACAGACAGCAGTGAGCCAGATGTGAGGCTCGAACTCACGAACCGTGAGATCATGACCTGAAGTTAGACGCTCAACTGACTGAGCCACCCAGGTGCCCCTCTTTTTTTTTTTTTTAATGTAAGCTCTACGCCCAATGCGGGGCTTGAACTCATGACCCTGAGATCGAAAGTCAGTTCTACCAACTAAGCCAGCCAAGTGCCCCCAAAATGGGAATTCTTAATGGCGTCTGCAGCTCCACCTGGCAAAGCGGCACCAGACGTCACGGTCACGCCTTCTACAAAACGGGAAGCTCCAGAAAATTCCAACTGCTATGGGTAACAAATAACCCAAGAAAAATCCTCAGGAACTGGAGGAATAAGGAAAGGGAGAAAAACAAAGCATTCACATTTCAAAAGTGATTGGGGCGATAAAAATCACAGTGAGATCCGTGTTTTAACCCATCGGTACATTCTCTACAGCTCAGCAATCCCACTGCTAAGAATCCTATTTGCAAAGCCGAAGGCGCCATGATACTGCCCGAAATGGCAAAAGAGGGAAAAGAGCATTCATGCCATCAGAAGATCCGTTACATAAATTTTGGTGTAAGCATATAAAGGAATGTGAAGTAGCCGACAGAAGTGAGGCGGCTGCATTTACAGAACACTTTCCAAGCTGGGTTACTAGATCAAAAACGTACGCCACCATTTTTGTAAAAGCCACATGCGTGTGTGCGTGTGTCCTTTGGGAGGACACGCAATGAACTGCCTCTGGGAAGGACAACTAGTCGCTGAGGGACAGGTGGACTGACTTTTTTCCTTGACCCTACTCCAGCCCTATTTGAATGTATGTCGTTTGCATGTGTTACTTATTCAAATGAAATATTTTAAAGCCTGAGGAAGGTACAGAAGTAAGTTATGGGGGTGGGGGTGGGGATCTGAAGAGGGTTATTTTGGCCGGGG